GCCGCCCACCAGGTCCCCGTGACCCAGCCAGCACTGTTCTGTGACACACTGCCGCCCACCAGGTCCCCGTGACCCAGCCAGCACTGTTCTGTGACCCACTTCCTCCACCCCATCCACACGCCTCCGAAGGTGCCGCTTTCATCTCCTTAATCTCTGCCCCAGAGGACCCTATGCTTTTAAGTTGATGCCATGTTAAAACGGCAGTCCTGGCATCTCCAAGGGAATCCTCTGAAATGTTCTTTGCATTGGAAACAATCAGAAGTCTAAAGGGAGAGGATCAGGGTGGTAGGATGGATGGGCTTCCCAAGAAACACGCTCTCGGGCAGACCCTGCCACCCTCAAAGAATGACGAGCTGGGCAGTAACAGAAAATAACAATATTACTAATAGAATTAGAAAATATTCCTTGGAGCAACTTTTCTGGCCTCTTCCTCATCGTGTGGTTCTCAGTTTTCTTGAACCGTCTTTATGATAAGCCTGTCACCGTCCTGTATCCTTTGAGAAAATCCATCATGGAATGCCGACCTGGCTGACCAGTCTTCTGACTTGGCTGCTCTACCTTGAATTTGACTGGTCCAGCTGGTATCCCTGGAAGCCATTATTTTGATTATACTATTTTTTTAAGGCCCCCAAAGAAGACGGAAACAAGTCTGCCAATGAAATAGCTCTTGGCAGCTGTCTACCGACTGCACACCCACATGGACACGCTTTGCCTGGAGCGAACGCAGGCAGCGCTGACCGGGACCCCCAGCAGCACGTTTCACTTGTTTTCATGTATGTGTGGTTTGTCTCCGGGCTCTATGCTGTTCCGCTCGTTTATGTATTTATTTCTCTCCCTTTCATTCTTATCTTACAGCGACTGTGTGAAGTTTTAGAAAGGAGAGAGCTCTTTTCATCTGTCTATTTAAAAACCTGGTCCTCTGAATGCAATCTCTTCTTTACAGTGGCAATTATCAGGCACATAAATAAGTAGAAAAGTAACCTATTAAATTTTTGTACACCTCCATCTGACAATTAGCATGATCGTTACAGGCTTCCCAAAGGCAGGTTCCACTTCTATTTTTCTCTGTTCTCTTCAGTGTCAGAACCAATCAATGCCTGGTACACAGTAGACACTCAATAAGTACTTGATGAATGAATAATGATTTACATTAAGAACTGTAGAGGTGATAGAGCACTTTTAAGTTACACTATCAATTTCTCTCAAGTTCTCTAATAATTTTTCCTCCTTTAATTAAGAGCAAGCATTACTGCAAGCACCCCACAGTCGCATTATCAGCGGGATGTAAAACGTGCAATCGCCCTCAGGAAATAGCTGAGGGGAGAGCCCAGGCAAGGAAGTCTTGTGCGGTGATGGCACGGCAAGCCAAAGCTGAAGAGCAAGATGCTGGACCAACAGGCTCCCCTGAGTCCAGATGCCGCCTGTGTCCAGCAACATCCGGCACGAGCTGGAAGGAGCGGCAGGCAGTCAGCGCAGAGCCCTCCCTGGGACATTCCTGCGTAACCGTGCACTGCCTCTCCGAGCCCACGAATAGATGTCTCCACTCGTCACTGACGGCCATCCAGAATGGCGGCATGGCAATGGCAGTACAGCTTGGAAGCGAAAGAAATCAAGCAATTTAACAGTACGTGCACTTTCCTAAGATACGCCGATTAGTGTCCTAATAACTATCGAGCAAAGATAACTTCGTGAAGAAACCACACGGAAGAGCTGTTTGATAACTTCATAAACACTGGGACAAGCCAGGAAGAGAAAGCACCACCCTAAATCATGGATGGAGGACAGACTTACTCCATTTCCACTGAGCTCAACTGCTGGAGAACTGACACTGCTGCTTAGACATAGCTAGTCTTATTATTGTTTCCCTCCCTCCAGGTGCCTGAAGACTGCCATTGGGAGACAACCTCCTCACCTGGTCACAGCATCCACCAGGAACGGCGCTGGGGCAGAGATGAGCAAGGCTGCTTCTGTGCTATCGTGTCCCTCCATCCCACAGGAGGACACTCCTGTTTCTGCACGTCCATTAGAAAGGAGGCCACTCTGCTGTGGAAAAGACACGTCTGAACCAAGAGGCAACACCTCATCTTCACTGATGCTTCCAGCAATAGACAGCAATAAGGAAGATGGTCTTGGTGTTGTATTTTTCTTTACCATCCTTCACCTGATTTTTTTTTTTAGTCGCCTTAAGAATTTATAACCAGAAAGATTATGTAACTAGGTTGAAGCCATTAAGCTCAGTTTTAATAAAACTCCCTAACAACTCTTTTCAGTTTTTCAGGAAGAAAAATTCTAGACCTCATTTTGAAAGGGTAACAACAATAATAAAAGCAAATATAAACTTACTGGCACAATCCACCGGGGTGTGATCACTGATGCTGTAGACACCTACAAAAAAAAAATATATATATATATATATATTTATTTTAGAGCAGTCTTATTTCCAAAATTACATTCACAATACTTTCTATCTCAAAATATATGGCAAATTCCAACGTCAAATGAGTAGAAAAACCACAATCAATGTGTTGTCAATTCTCTTGCACACCTCTATTCTGACCTAGCTGCGCATGTAGTACTTCCCCGGTGCCCTCACCCACCACAGCTAATTCCGACCGCAAATAAAAGGGCACAGGGCTCTTGACTATCTATCACTTGTGCCCAAGACTTCAGATGCCAGCCTTGGTCACCCTCACTTCTTACCTGCAAGCTATCAAGTTGGGGTTCACCACTCCAACCCAAAGCAGAAGCCCTTAGCCCCCTCATTTCCGACCTGCTGGCTCTCACTACTCAAGGGGGTGAGCACTGGATAACTCACCAGAATTCATGGAAAGAACAATTTTATTATATGAAAAACTGAGAGAAATGAAGAGACGCACAGGGCAAAGCCTGAGAGGGTTCCCAGTGCAGAACGTCAAGTCCCAAAAAGGAGCCCAGTACTCTGCCGCAGGCAACAATCTCTTTCACCAACCAGGAAGTTCACAGAGTCTCTGTGCCCAGGGCTTTTCCTGGGGGCTCATTATGTGGATAGAATGGATTGAATGAGAAAGTCCCCAGGCCCAGATCAGCTGATATAATTTAAACCTGGCCAAAACGCACCTGACTCACCCATTAGCATTAACTGAAAGTAGAAGTTTCATCAAAGACACTGAATTACTGGAAGTATTTCCAAGGTGTTCTCAGGAATCAAGGTCAAAGAACAAATTCGTTGGGGGAGGGGGGAAGGGGAGAGGAGTTGATTTTCAAGCCCACACTTGGAAAGGAGGAAGATAATTCTTCCTCCTAAGCTGAACTGGACTGCATAATCCAAGATTCTTTTCTATGGTGCAGTTGCTTAACAAACTGCCATCTTTGGGTAGCGGGGGAACAGGGCACTATATCTCCACAGGGAAAGAGGGATCAGACTTCATGCCTGGGCTCCAAGATGTGAATGCAACATACCGGCATGGAGCAGGGAAGCAATAGAGAGGGCTGAGGGGCCAGACCCAATCCCACTAGGTGGACAGCCCCTCCCCACCCCGCCCCCGCCCACAGAAGAATTCACTTCAGAGGACAGCACTGAAGTTGCAGCTCAGGGCGAGGGACATGTCTGATCAGAGCACTCAGGAGCAAAGGAAGGGAGAGGAAGAGAGAGTGGAGCACAATCTGGCACACAAAGCCCTGAGGACAATCCTGCTCAGAGCAGCCAAAGCACAGAGAGCACCATAGGGCCAGACCCACTATGCGACACGACATCCCTCACTGACCCATAGCCCTATAGGTGAAAACACTGGAGACACAGTGCAGGAACTGGGTCCGATCTGACCCCACCACACCGAGGAAAAACACTAAGGGCGTGCAACAGAACAGCAAGGGGAAGAGAGCAATGAAGTCCTCAGGGAGTACTAATAATAGACCTTGGGACCAGGTGTGCACCCCATCAGAGCCAGCCGGACAACACTCCTAAAGGTCAACAAACAGACCTTGAACGATTTACAGGTATATTTTTTTCTGTCGTTGGTTTTGTTGTTGTTGCTGTTTTGTCTTTTTATGTTGCTTTGCCTTGCTCTGTTTTGTTTTTTGTGCATATTATTATCTCTGCAGGTCTATTTAGATAAAATAGGCTGTATTAACAATCTGGAGAGAAGCAACAAAGTCCAGATGGAAGAAGCACACCAGCCTGTGCGATCACGAGGTGTCGAAGGGATCAGGTATCAGGCATCATCAGAACAAAAAAAATCATATAATTGTGAATGAGGGGGAGTGCAGAGTGGAGACCCAAAGCTCATCTGTAGGCAACTGGACATTCCCTTACAGAAGTGTCGCAGGGAGAAGATGAGCCAGTCAGGGTGCGATGTAGCAACAATGAAACATACAACTTTGTTCTAGTTCCTAAATGCTTCCTCCCCACTCCACTATCATGATCCCAATAATACCTTACAAATCTGGCTAGACCAGAGGATGTACAGCGGTACAGATAGGAACTGGAAACATAGGGAATTGAGGGCGGATGATCCCTTCAGTATCAGTGGTGAGAATGGAGATACCGGGAGGGTAGGGGGAGGGTGGTGTGGAAATGGGGACCCGATTTCAAGGATCTACACATAACCTCCTCCCTGGGGAATGGACAACAGAAAAGTGGTTGAAGGGAAACATTGGACAGTGCAATATATGACAAAATAATAATTTGTAAATTATCTAGGGTTCATAAGAGAGGGGGAGTGGGGAGGGAGGGGAAAATAGGAGCTGATGCCAGGGGCGTAAGTGGAGAGCAAATGTTTTGATAATGATGAGGGCAATGAATGTACAAATGTGCTTTACACAATTGACGTATATATGGATTGTGATAAGAGTTGTATGAGCCCCCAATAAAATGATTAAAGAAAAGTAAAAGAAAGAAATGACTGAAATGGATGTCAACAGAAATTCTGAAAATTGCTCATGAATAATGTATAGCTAAAGCAAATGAAAGAAATGATGAAGTAAAAGAAGTAGATAGAAAATTTCAAAGGGTGATTCAAGACAAGAAGTTATTATAATGAAATGTGTAAAGCCCTGGAGTTAGAAAAACAAAAATGGGAAGGTGCTTGGCATTTTTTCTAATCAGTTTTTTAAAATCCCCAGGGGCCATTCTACCCTGACCTACAGGCTGGCTGTGCGTCAACAGACCGGGCAGCAGTGGGCTTGGTTTGGGGACTTCATCCAGGGCTTGCATGGTGCACTGGGTCATGCACTGAGTGCTGCTTCTCACCACCAGCCCTCTGTGAGAAACAGATGGGACTTTCTACTCCTGCACGTTTAAGGTGCCAGAAACCCAAAGCGGAGGTCCACCCTGCTCTAGCGGGTCATATGAATGGGAACTGACTTGATAGCAGTGAGTTTTGGCTTTCTGGTACTTAATCCAGTATCTTTTGTACTGTAATAATGTTCAATGCCACCTATATGTATGTCCCTACCTTTCAGAATTTAAAACAAATTAAATATATCTTTATCATCTTAACTCTTTAGAAATGGATTTGTCCCCATAAGCTTCTTCTCATGTTATTTAATATGGTATTGATGTAGACAAATAGAGCAACATAGTAACATACATATTGAAAGTGGTAGAATTTTAGAACAGAAAATGGCAATAGTGATTGAAATCTGAAAGCATTGGAAAAGTTTTACTACAATTTTTTAAAAAAATAAAAGAATTTGAATCTGGCAGTAATATTTCCAAAATGGAAATCCCTTTCTATCTTCCTTTTTAAAGATACTTACCTGAGGTGTGACTTTCTGGTCGATTAGATTCTCAGTGAGAGATAAAAGTAAGGCATCCAATTCATCTGTAGCATCCTACGGAGACAAGGCATGTATAGTTGTTAAAGAACCCCTTACTCAGCAGACAGGGCTGCCCCACATCCTTCTCAGTTATCATTTTGAGCAGGCCTGACTGGTCTTGATTCTTGAGTAAACAGAGACACTGCAGGAATCATGGGTATTAATGCTTCTACTTTAGCCTGGAGGGGAACGCAGACCACACGTAGAACTTACACACGCTAAACTATAATATGAGTTTCCGTACAGCTACTCCGTTTGGTGAGACAAGCAGGAAGACAAAGCCTAGTCTGACTCTCAGATGGTAGAAAGCAAAGACCAGAGGACCATGCGTCAAGGAGATGCTAAATTCCAAGTGCTCTTTTATCTGGACAGACAGCTGCTTCACTGTTTGCAAAAGGGCACCAGGTGAACTTGCCCCATTAACTGCAATTAATACTTGAAAAGTGATTTGTCTTCCTGTTGGGAATATACACAGTATGAGCACAGACCAATTCAAGTCGCTATGAGTACATTTCAATGACATCCACTGTATCTTTCAAGTTGTACCGTCATTGTCACCCCCGTCTCTGAGCTGCTCCTTCATCAATGCATACTCACTACTCCCGAAGGTCCTATCTAATCTTTGGGCTGCTGTCGTCACTTTGATCCCAAATACAGATCGATCATAAAAGGGCATAATGCTCAAGAGCCTTTATACTAATTAATCTAAACTTTACTGTTCGGTGTCTGAGTGAGAATTGACTCAAGGGCATTTGGTTTTGGTTTATTGTTTGGTTTTACGGCGTCCACAGGAGATTTTTTTGGATTAAGGTCTACAGATTCTCTTAGAGCAATAGTTTCAGGATTCATCCAGCCCCCATGGCTCCAGAAAATTTGGATTCCATTCTTTTTAGCATCTCCCCCCTTTGATCAAGATTCTTTTTTAGAATCTTTGACTGAAATGTTCGCTAATTGTAGCCAGGCACTATCTAGCTCTTTGGGTCTCATGTCAAAGAAGGGATCTGTTCATGGAGGCAATTAGCCTCCTTCATTTCCTCCTCCCATTCTTGACCCTGGGAGAACAGGGGCTAATAGTTGTACCTTTAATGGATCCTTGCAAGCTTTTTAAGACTACCTAAGAGCCACGAGGCAGGATAGAACCATTAAACATGTTGCTAGGTCAATTAACTGAGATGTCCCCTGACACCATGATCCCAAGCCTCCAAATCAAAACACTAACTTCCAGAGATGTCTGGGTGTACATGAGCTGTCTGGGTGTACACGAGATGTCTGGGTGTACACGAGCTGTCTGGGTGCACACAAGATGTCTGGGTGTACATGAGCTGTCTGGGTGTACATGAGATGTCTGGGTGTACACTAGCAGTCCCCGCAGCTCTAATTATAACATTTTAAATTTGTATTTGAAGCAACTGATGGAAACACAATTTGATAGTTTTCCTTAATCAAAGGTTCTAAGTGTTTTGTAGCAGTACTTTTTAACTTACACACACACACACACACACACACACACACACACACACACACGAGTACAGAATTGTATCTTTCATTCCACTGTGGTAAGTCAAAAAGTACCACTACAGACCCCATTGAAACCAAACTATCAAAAGGTGAAGTTACTGATTCTGGACATTGTGGTGTAAACACTTCTGAAGACAGTTCCCTACTGCTACGTTCTTCACTTGACACCATGTCAATATGAAAGTTTGGGCACTCTGAAGAGTGTAAACCATGTTCCTTTGAGAAATCCCTGTGGAGAAGACACATGGAGAGAGACCTCTGGAGCGAGGGAAGCCATGTGGAACAGACCCCTGCCAGCACTGAGATGCTCACACCGCCACTTCACCCTAAAGGCTCCCCTCACTGCCTGTGATCTTCTGCACTCGGCATCACTGCAGGTGTTCCACAAGTCTGAAGAGGCCTTGATAGACTGGTATCGGACTATGGACTTGATCTGGGCTGGGATGTTATCTCAATATTCAACTGCTCTTTATATAAAGCTCTTACTGCACACCTATGAGTGTCTATGAATGTTTCTCTAGTCTACCCAGACTAACAGATCTCGGTCATCCCACCAGACAAAGGACCATGGCCACCTGAGGTGCTGGTTTAGGGCAAAGGTAATACAGAATGGGCAGTAGAAGAAGGTAGTCCTACCTATCAGTTACGACCATGTGATCGATTGCAAAAGTGAGGTCTGTGATTGTCAGTTTATCTTCTTTATACGTGCTTATTGAATATCTTTGTTTATGTATGATGTCCCAGATACAATTAGATTCAGTGTGTTTTCATTTATACGTATGATAGATGTTTGAAGTTAGGTATAAGTGTGATTTCATTAATGTCTAGGAATTATATATGGCTAAAGAATTGTGTACAGGTGCCAAGTTGGCAAGTGTTGGACTATAATAGGTAGGTTTATTATGCCAACGTGGACAATAAGAACATGTGGGATTAATAAGGTCATAGTTTGACTGGAGAGTAAAGAGATAAATGGCTTGGCAAGCCCCACCTCTCTCTCTCTTGCTCTCTGGTGATTGGACCAGCATGGGGCTGCCTTATCTAGTTCTCTGTCTCAACTTGTGAGCTACACTACCTGTGAGACACCCAACCCGTGGATCAGTTCACTAGAGCTTGAGGTTCCTTAGAGACCTGCTTTACCATGTTTCTGGTGCATATATCTCTTAAGCTTGGGGCTGTCGGATCCTGTTGTCTTACTGTTGGTGACCCGCCCTGCTGTTTGCTGTCAGACTGCCCGCATTGCCCGATGGAAGACTCAACTGTCTGCTCCCTTGACCTTGACCGTGCACACCAGCAGCCCTTGTGAGTTGAAGGACTTCCAGTATATTAACTGCTCCACTGAAGTGAGTTGAACTGAGCCCTCTGTACTGCTGTGTGGACTAATCAGCTGTTATATTCCTTGGTGCTGTATATATCTATATAAAATTGTAAGTGTCCTGGTTTTGTTTCTCTAGAAAACCCTGCTAACACAATTGTATAAAAAAAAATGCCATCAATAATTAGAAGAATCATACCAAGACCCACCACTGCCCAAGAAAGAATACAGACAAAAGCAGAGAAGCCCGAGATACTCCTGCAAGCGGTGTGGTCAGAGGCTCCTCCCGAAACACGGCGCCTCAATGCTTTTTCAAAAGCACAGCCTAAACCCAGGTATCATCAGAAGTCGTTAGGTGTCCCTGATTAAAAGCTTGCCTTTCTAAATAATCATTAGTAAAAGCATCCTTACCTTTAGAACAGAATCGTTTCCGGTAGGTGTGGCATGTAACAGAGCCAGAGGATCTTTGAGTAGAGACGTGCCATCCTCATTCAAAGTAGCACTAGGGAAAAGAAGTTCCCATAATGGAGGGTTTATACAGCACGGCAACATTTTCAAGAAAATGTTATGCATTCAACAGTGCCCTCTATGACCCCCTTAAAATTGCGTTGTAAATCCTAACTGCCACAGCTATAGTTAAGGAGCCTTGGTAACACTATGAGTTAGCTTGCCAACCACAAAATGGGCAGTTTAAACCATCTGTTCTGTGGGAGATAGCGTTATCTGCTCCTATACAGATTTAGTTTTATGAAACCTCATAGAAGGTCACTAGGAGTTGCAATTCAAACAAAGCATTGAGGTTTTTTTATATTGGTGGCTATAATCCCATTTTGGAAAGTGATTTCTTTATTATGTTAATGATACATAAAACAGAGTAGACTCCTCAAGTAAGCAAGCAGAGCTAGTAGAAGGTAGGGTGCCATGCCACTGGAGACAGCCAAGAAACCAAGAAACGGAAGCTGAGAAAAGACAAAACTCTTCCCACAGAGCCAACAGATGCCGAAAGCTTTCCGCTAGGGCCCGTGCCCTGAATTTGGACGTCTAACCTCCTACATTGCAAGGACATACACTCTCTTGGTTAAGAGTCACTCATCTGTGGTATTGCTACCAGCGCAGCACTACGGGAGACAGAGTGCTTAGGAAAGAAGCTTGTTAGAATCATGTCAGAAAAAGACGATCACAAGCGGCTATTGATGCCCCACCGCCCGCGTGGCAGATTGTACATCCAGGTCAGATGTGTATACAGATGGAAAGACATGCTTCCCAACTAAAAAAATCACTGAGACAGTAGAAAAGACTGATCTTTAAACAAAAGGATAAAATTCTTAAGACTTGAAAACCAATAAATGATACCAAACGTAGTTCCGAAACTTGGGGTATATCCTAGAAGATATAAAAAAGAAGAGTATGATTTCAAAATTATGAGCAGATTAAATGCTTTTGTCTCCCAAAGACATCAAATGCAGAGAAGCGACATCAAAGGTGTTAAGCTAAATTAACAAGGTGAGAAGAGAACGGCAGCAGTCACATGGCAGAGTCAGAAGTCCCACCTCTGTCCCCCGACAGAAACATCCCAAAGCAAGCATAAAAAACAGCAATTATCAGAATCATTTTGGCAGGTCACTGATAAGTAGTTGAAGGTTTTGGCTTTTTTCTTGCCTTTGTCCACAGCCTTCCTCGTTGGTGACCAGCTTGAATAAGGCAGCCACAACCAGAACAGTGCACACTCACAGACTAGGGAGCTTCTCTGCTCTTCCGGTGGCAACACTATGGCCAGGGGCTAGTCTGCTTCCCTGTCTTGGAACTCACCCCATGGCATCATTGGAACTGGGTAATAATGACAGCTGTGATGAGAGCACATTAGAAGGTTCGAAGCAGCTTAACTATAGAAGTGCAATGTATGTGAATATTATATTAAGAAAACTACTTTAAAAAAAGAAAAACCAAACTTTATCTATGGTTACCATGGGTGAAAGAGGAAGAGTTGTGCTTAGGGGGCACAGTATTCATTTTAATGGTGGTGGAACAATTTGGAGAAGGATAGTAATAATGTTTGTACAACACGAGGAGTATACTCAATGGCACTGAATTATATAGAAGTGTTGAACTGATGAATATTTTGTTGTGTACAGGAACGGATGAACTTTTAACACCAATGGGGAAAGGGGAACTAAGACATACAGCAGTTTCTGTTTAAGGACAGAGACAAAGCCAGGGAGGTTTGTTTTGGATTTATATAAATTAGAGCATTCAAAAGCACCTGTGTAGATAGAAAATTTTAGGAAATCACATCTATGCTTAGGGCAAGATGAATACTCAAAAATCCTAACTTTGACCTCAGACTGATATCAAGGCTCAGCAAGTCTGAGAGTTGAAGGAGTGTCGCAGCACACAGGCAAGCTGCAGAGACGGTGAGGGATGTTTAGTCCATGCTGTTGTTTACTTTTGTTTTAATGTTCTGCTTTTAAATTTCTGTCCAAAGACATTTCTGTCAAAACACTCGCTGAAAACATGTTAAAGGAACAGAGTTCAATCACCACACATGTCAAGGATACTCTTTGCAAAAACAAAAAGGTTGGAAAAGTCATTAACAGACTGTTATAGCATTCCAAAATCAATAATCAAAAGCAAGTCAAGATAATGAATTAGTAATCAAAAACCTTCCAACAAAGAAAAGTCCAGTACCAGATGGCTTCACTGGTGAATTCCACCAAAATTTTAAGGAAGAACTAACAGTAACTCTTTTCCAATTCTTCCAAAAGATATAAAAGGAGAGAACACTTCATAACTCAGTCTATGAAGGCAGAATTACAATGAGACCAAACACAGGCAAAAACATTACAAGAAGAAAAACACTCTTCCTTATGAATACCGATGCAAAAATACTCAACCACGTACTAATAAACAACCAAACAGCATAGGAAAAAAATTATGTATTATGTCAAGTAAGATTTATTTAGGGAAAGAAAGAGTAATTCAACATATGATAATCAGTCAGCGTCACAGTGTGGGAATTGTGCCCAATCTGAGCCCACCACACTGAAGCAAAACACTAAGGGCGTGCAACAGAACAGTAAGAGGAACAGAGCAACAAAGTCCCTGAGAATACCGAAAATAGACTTTGGGGCCAGGGCTTGGCACCCCATTAGATTTGAGCGGAAAATACTCCTAAAGGCCAACAAACAGTCCTTGAACTAACTACAGGCTTTTCTTTGTTGTTGTTTTGTCATTGGATTTTTGTTGTTTTGTTTTCTTCTGTTGGTTTGTTTTGCTCTGTCTTGTTTTTGAGCATGTTATTATCTCTGCAGGTCTGTCTAAATAAGATAGGGTGGATGAACAATCTGGGGGAGAAAACAATGGGACCAACGGTTCTGGAGGGACTGGGAGAGGGGGAGATGGTGGGGGTGGGGGGAGTGGTGTTAATAAACCCAGGGACAAGGGAACAGCAAGTGATCCAAATCGGTGGTGAGGAGGGTGTAGGAGGCCTGGTAGTGCGTGATCAAGGGTAATGTAACCAGGGGAATTACTGAAACCCAAATGAAGGCTATGCATGATAGTGGGACAAGAGGAAAGTAAAAGGAAATAGAGGAAAGAACTAGGTGGCAAAGGGCATTTACAGAGGTCTAAATACAGAATGTACATATATAAATATATTTATATATGACAATGGGAAAATAGATCTATGTGCATATATTTATAGGCCTAGTATTAAGGTAGCAGATGGATATTGGGCCTCCACTCAAGTACTCCCTCAATTCAAGAATACTTTGTTCTATTAAACTGGCATTGCATGATGCTCACCTTCCTGACACAATTGCTGAAGACAAATGGATACATAAGCAAATGTGGTGAAGAAAGCTGATGGTGCCCACCTATCAAAAGATATAGTGTCTGGGGTCTTAAAGGCTTGAAGGTAAACAAGCGGCCATCTAGCTCAGAAGCAATAAAGCCCACATGGAAGATGCACATCAGCCTGTGTGATCATGAGGTGTCAAAGGGATCAGGGACCAGGCATCAAAGAACAAAAAATCAAATCATTGTGAATGAGGGGGAGTGCAGATTGGGGACCCAAGACCCATCTGTAGGCAATTGGACATTCCCTTACATTAGGGTCACGGGGAGGAGATGAGCCAGTCAGGGAGCAGTGTAGCAACGATGAAACATACAACTTTCCTCTAGTTCCTAAATGCTTCCTACCCCCAACCCCCTATCATGATCCCAATTCTACCTTACAAATCTGGCTAGACCAAAGGATGTACACTGGTACAGAAAGGAACTGGAAACACAAGGAATCCAGGATGGATGATCCCTTCAGGACCACAGCTGAGAGTGGCGATAAGGGGAAACCAATTACAAGGATCTACATATAACCTCCTCCCCGGGGGTTGGACAACAGAAAAGTGGGTGAATGGAGACGTCGGACAGTATAAGATAAGACAAAAATCATAATTTATAAATTATCAAGGGTTCATGAGGGAGGAGGAAAAAATGAGGAGCTGATGCCAGGGGCTTAAATGGAGAGCAAATGTTTTGACAATGATGAGGGCAACGAATGTACAAATGCGCTTTGCACAAGTGATGTATGTATGGATTGTGATAAGAGTTGTATGAGCCCCCAATAAATGATTTAAAAAAAAGAATATCAATTTAATTAAGCACTTCCAGAACGATACCTGTTTGCAGTAACTTCCTGAACACTGGTATTATTATGACTTAATAAACCATCTTCTTTTGTAACCTAAAAAAAATGGAATCATAAAAAAAAATTAAATTGTTGTTGAGAGCACGAATATTTTGTGCCAGTAAAATGAGAAGTGTCTTTTTAATTAAGTTCAAAGGAGAGAATTATAACGTATCTATAGAAGGTCACTGCTGTAGCTCTTGTGGTCATAAACCTACATCCAAATTAATAATCAAGCTTCGGCTCTCATGGTAACATGCAGAGTTACGTGCCCTCACTCTGCTTGGAGTCGGTTCTGACAGAGGCGGGTCCTCACAGAGGAGGACTGCCCCGTGGGTTGCCGAGTCTGTCAATCTTCACAGGAGTCGAAAGCCTCATCTTTCTCCTAATTGCAGACCTTGTGATCAGCAAACCAACTTGTAAACCACTAGACCACTTATAATTATTTAAGTAGAAACCGTGTTATCAAAAAGAAGCAATATTGGAATTTTTCAAACTTACATGATGCTAGGATGTATATTTGGCTTTTAATGTTTTACCAAATGCTAGAACTATTTCAGGAGACACTTTCTACAAAAAAAACCCTGCTTTACCCCCAACCTTATGGAGCTATTATTTACACACAGTACAATGCACTGTTTGAAGTGTATGGTTCAAAGGACTTTGAAAAATATACACATATGCATAACTACAACAAATATATGCAACACTTCCATTATCTCCTGAGGTAGTTATTGTGCCAACCTGACCGATAAACACCTGTGGGGTTAATTGAAGGGCAGAGAGATAAATGGCTCAGTGAGCTTCACCTTTCTAGTTCTCGGGTCTCTTGCTTTCTGATGGTTGGACCAGGGTGCAGCTGCCCTAGCCAGTTCTCTGCTTCAGCTGGCAAGGCTCACTTCCTGTAAGATATCCCTGAGGAGAAGCCGCATGGACTTACCCCGATGTAGCCCTGGGTGCTGGAGCAGCCGTGTGGAGACCCCTGTCAGTTCACTGACTTGGCTTACCTCCTGCAGTCAGCATCATTGCATGTGTTTTGTGAGATGGAGGAGGACTTTGTGGATTGGTGTCGGACATATGGGTTAATGTTGGACTTGTGGGCTTGGGCAGCACTCGGTTGGGATGTTTTCTTGATGTGCACTTACCCTTTACATAAAACTCTCTCTTATACATATGATCTTCTGAGGATTTATTTCTCTAATGTACCGAGACTAACACATCTCCCAACATAAATGTTTCCTTGGGCTGTTCTTAGGCAATCCCACCCATAACCCTTACATGCAGCAGACAATAATGCCTATTTTCTACAATCTGATGTAAACACAATCTTTTATGTTTGCCTCGTTAGAACAGCATAAGCTTTTTCTCGACAGGTTGGCCACCCGAACACAGCGAAAACCACTGCAAAATCCAAATCAAAGTGGGAAAGGAAAAGACCGCTACCAGCATCACTGGCCACGTCGATTCTGGCAAGTCCACCACTACTGCTGGGATGGACGAAGGACCACTGAGAAATGTACGAAGGAAGCTGCTGAGAAGGAGAAGGGCTAATAATTTATGAATTATCAAGGGCTCATGAGGAAGCAGGGAGCGGGGAGGGAGGGGAACAATGAGGAGGTGATGCCAGGGGCTTGAGCAGAGAGCAAATATTTTGAGAATGATGAGTGAGGGCAATGAATGCACAAATGTGCTTTACACAATTGATGTATATGTGGATTGTGATAAGGGTTGTATGAGCCCCCAATAAAATGATTAAAAAAAAAAAGAGAGAAGGAGGGGGCTTCTTCAAGTCTTCCTGCGTCTTGGATAAGCTGAAAGCCGAACGCGAGCATGGCGTCACTACTGATATCGCCCTGTGGAAATTTGAGCCCAGCACATTTGGTGGTAGGTGACCATCATTGATGCTCGTGGACATAGACACGTCATGAAAACATGACTGCAGAAACATCCCAGGCCGCCTGCGCTGTCCTCGTCGCTGCTGCTGGCGTGGGTGAATGTGAAGCTGGGATCTCCAAGATCGGGCAGACCCGGGAGCATGCCCTTCTGGCTAACACACTGGGTGTGAAACAGCTACTTGTTGGTGTTAACAATGGGGATTCTACCGAGCCGGCCTACAGCCAGAAGAAATATGAGGAAATTGTTCAGGAAGGCAGCACTGACATTGAGAAATCTGGCTACAAGCCACGGACAGTAGCATTTGTGCCCATTTCTGGCTGGAATGGTGACAACATGCTAGAGCCAAGTGCTAATAAGCCTTGGTTCAGGGATGGAAGGTCACCCACAAAGCTGGTAATGCCAGTGGTACCATGCTGCTTGACGCTCTGGATTGCATCCTGCCGCCAACTCATCGAACTGATAAGCCCTGCCTCTTAAGGATGTCTACAAACTTGTCGATACTGGCACTGTCGCTGTGGGCAGGGAGGAGACTGATAATTCTGAAACCTGGTGTGGTGGTCACCTTCGCTTCAGTCAACGCTGCCACAGAAGTGAAGTCTGTTGAAATGCACCATGCAGCTTTGAGTGAAGCTTTGCCGGGGAACAGTGTAGCTTTCAATGTCCAGAATGTCTCTGTTCCCCATGGCAAAGTGCCTGGTGACAAGAGAAATGACCTACCAAGGGAAGAAGGCAGTTTCACTGCTCAGGTGATCATCCTGAACCATCCAGGCCAAATCAGTGCTGGATAGGCACCCATGCTGGATTGTCACCCTGCCCACATTGCTTACAAGTTTGCTGTGTCATCTCCTCTGGGGCCTGATTTTCGCCAAGGCCTCCAAAGCAACTTGAATGTCTGCAACTTCTTGGTAGGCGCATGTGTGGAGAGCTGCCCTGCTTTGGGGTTGTTCTGCTGTCCGTTACATGAGGCGGGCCGTTGCTGTGGGTGGATCAAGGCACTAGACAAAAAGGCTGCTAGAGCTGGCAAGATCACCCAGTCTGCCCAGCAGGCAAACTCATGCTACTCATGACACCTGCCACCCCAGTCTGAACCAGCAGTGGAAGAAGGGTCTCAGAGCCGTTTTTCTCAATGGGCCACTTAAATTTAATAGTGATAGAGTAGCTAATGATAACAATGCATCATAAAACTTTGAGAACGAAAGGAATATTTTGTGAACCTTCTGTTTTTCTTTGTGGCAGTGTTAAGTAGTTTTATAAAGCAGTACTTTTAAAATGGAAGACAATTTAAATAAAAATTGTCATAGTTTTTTGAGACCATTTAAAGTTTAATGAGGAAAAAAAGAACAGCATGAATGATGTTTTAGGGATTTACCCATAATGTTACAGACATTGCCAATTCAATTAATTTCTTTTTATTTGTTGGGCAATAAAGTTGCATTGAACCCTAATGACTAAGAGCAGGCAAAATTCCCCAAGACAGCATCCATGAAGAAAGCAAAAGGTCTTTTTCAAACTCTACTCACTGACATGGAGTTGTTTCTGACCCACAGTGACCCTTACAGGGCAGGGTAGAATGGCCTCTATGGGTTCCGGAGACCAGAAATCATTTTGTTTTATTTTGTTTAGGTCAGAAGAGTTTTATTACCTTTTAACAGCCATTAGCTAGGAAAAAGAACTTGCTCTACAACAAACCTCAAATAAATAACACTTTCTCAATTAGCAGAGGCAGTAGCCTCACCATGACAGTCAGAGTCTCCGAACCCCCTACCCCCAGGTTCAGGGAGAGACAGTAGCTTTTAGCTTCTCTTGGAAGGATCAACAGGTGCTCTGGTGATTCACTCCTTTGTGATAGGTAGGTTTATTGTGCCAACCTGGTCAATGAACACATGTGGGATTAATTGACGGGCAGAGACATAAATGGCTCGGCAAGCCTCGCCTTTCTTGTCTCTTGCTCTTTGATCATTGGATCAGTTAGGTGGTTCTCTGCCTCAACTTTCGAGCTACACTACCTGTGGGAAACCCAACCCATGGACCGCGTCAATGTAGTTTGAGGTTCCTTCAAGACCTGCTTCCCATGCTAATGGAGTATACATCACTTTAGCTGGGGACTATCGGACCCTGTCATCTGGCTGCCTGTTGGTGACCCTGCTTTGCTGTCTGTGGCCGGATTGCCTGAATTGCTCTACAGAGGACTCAGCTGTCTGCTTCCTTGACTCGCACCTGGCAGCCCTCAAGACTTGAAGGACTGCCAGTGTATTAGCTGTCGCATGGAAGTGAGTTGCACTGAGCCGTTTGTACTGCTCAATAATTAGGTGTTTATTTCTTATGTTGTATATATATCTGTGTATATAAATATACATAAAATCATAAGTGTCCTGGTTTTGTTTCTCTAGAGTACCTTGTCTAACATACTCCTTTAAGGGGTATGGTTAACATCTCAAACTCTGCCCCTCTAAGCTCCAGCACATTCATGGATTTATCTGCAGCAGAGGCTGTAAGTAATCCACTGCTATCGAGTCAATTCTGACTCATGGCGACCCGATAGGACAGGAGAGAACTTGCCCTGTAAGCTTCTGAGACTGTGAGGGGGTAGAGGCCCATTTTCTTCCCTCGGAGCTGGCTGGTGATTTTGAACTGCTGACCTTGTGATTAGCAATTCAATACATAAGCACTATGCCACCGGGGCTCCTTGAAAAGGTGAACACACGTATATTAATAGCCTATGTCAAATCTGTACACATTCATGGATATACTCTACTCTTCTTCCTGTACTTATCAGCCTGTATATCTATCCACACTTCTACGTGTAGATCACCACCAGAGCAGGATGGTCCGTGTAACAGTACTTAGTTCTGTTTCCTTTAATGTTTGCACACGTCTTGCCCTGCCTCCATTATTTTTGGCTGACTGCCTTCTTATTGTACATTGCTTTCCCGTTCATCCAACACACATCTACCCACTAGACAGTAATTTACTCTCCTCCTTTCACCCCTAGTAACTATCAAAGGGTGTTTCTTTTTAATGGGAAAACCTTTTCTTGACTCTTTATAATAATGGTCTCACATGACATTTGTTCTTTTGTGACTAATTTCATGATCATGTCCATCAGGTTCACTCATGTTAGGAGGGGTTTCACAGCTTCAGTTGCTCTTTAACATTGAGTAGTAGTCCATTCTATGTATGTGTCATAGTTTGTTTATCCATTCATCCATTCATGTGCATTTAGCTCGCCATCATTTTGCTGTTGTGAATAGTGCTACAACGAATATAGGTGTATCTATCTTGTCATGTTATAGCTTTAGGATATATACCAAATAGCGAGAACCTGGGTCAGACAGTATTTCCACTTGGTTGCACCACTTTACAATCCCACCACCATGGTATAAGAGTTCTGGTTTCTCCACATGGTTCTCAGCATTTACTGTCCTCAGTTTAAAAAAAATTTTCTTTTCAATATTAGCTATTAATGCTAGGGGGTCAATACTTTTTAAGTGCTCATAATGTGCCAATCACTATTCCATGTTCTTTTCACTATGTCATTCCATCCTTATAGTCTCCTTCTAAGGTAGATATTACCACTATCCTTATTTCAAACACATCTAAACTGAGGCTCGGAGAAATTAATTAGCTTGTCCAGAGCCACAGTACTAGTAGAAATGAGATCCTAAATCTTTTGGTTCACACAATTTGTCATATTTTATTTTACTTTTTAAACATACTCTATAATTTATGCTTATAGTGGGGTAAGGTAAGAAAGCACAACTAATTATTTCCAAAGTCTTCGGATCTCTTTAATGCTTTGTCTGGGAACCCCATGTTTATATTGGGTGGAGGGGTTGAAAGAAAGCATGAACATTCTGAACATCCTCTCAAGTCTATTCAGGGTTTGTGTCATTAGGAAAGAACATTTTCCATTTGACAGGATATTCTGGAGTGCTAGCCCTGGCAGTGTAGTGGGTTACATGTTGGGCTGCTAACTGCAAGGTCAGCAGTTCAAAACTACCAACCATTCCTTGGGAGAAAGGTAAGGCTTTTGGCTCCTATAGAGTCAAAATTACAGACTCCTATTACAGTCTCTGAACCCTACAGTGACGGTTCTAATCTGTGCTAGTGGGTGACTGTATGACTCAGAATTAACTTGATGTCAGCGAGTTTTTGGGGTCACATGCTGCCTTTGTTCTAGTTTTGGTATGGAAGATAAGTTTGAAAATTAAGGATAACCTAGGAAAATATTATGCTATAAACTTCACGAGGACTAGTTCCTAGCCCCTAAATATTTCTCAGTGTCATAGATAACTAACCATCTATGGACAATTCTACCATATGTCAGGGTAAACGACCCCTAACAAATAATCACAGGCCCGGCCGGCGCAATTGTACAGCAATAACATGTAAAAATTACACTGAAGTCAAAGAGAAGTACAGGAGAGAGAAGAGAGAATAAAATGAAGGAATCAGACACATTTCACGGTACCATGCTCACCTCAGCCCCGCTTGTTGATCCACGTGGGGATGTGGAAGGTGGCAATGGCAGGAGAGAGAGAGACTTATTCCTAACCAAGGCTTATTTATCTTTTGAGGGCGTGCAAGCCCCCTGATTACAGGTAAAGACATATGTCACAGGAAGGGGTTGTACTATAGGTAATACAGTAATGAGGGGGGTGATCTAGGGGTATACGTGCAGTAGAAAAGGGAGGGGCTGGGGTACACATGTGACAAGATGGGCGGATCCTAGATTCAGGATGGCAGCCTAACTTTGGATGTCACTGAGCAGGTTTGACCTTTCTAAGCTCTCCAGGGAAACAATCACTATCCTATCAATAGGGTGTGAGCCCCACCTACAGAGGACCAGACAGTAGTCTGATTGCTCTGGATGACTGAATGCCTTCAGGGAGAGTATCGCTAAGCATCTGACCTCCCACCATGTGCTGGCAAGCAGCCTCTTAGGTGTGGCATATCTTTGGGGGAGACAAAGCTGGGTAAAAGTCGTTTTATATCCCACAAGCACATGAGCACAATGAAGTGTTCTGGAGTTCTCCTTTGAAATGTTATCCACAATTTGCTATTATTCACACAGTGAAATATCTATGCATAGTTAATAAAACAAGTAAATATAGTTCTGATATGCTCTGCTTTCAACCAAGATCCATCAGCAATGATATCCCTGGCTCTATGGCCTCTTCTGAATACAACTGGGTTTTCTGGTAGATTCCTCTCGATGTCTTACAGCAACCACGTTTTCTTCAGGAAAACTTTACTTCCTTGTGATGTTAGTGCTCATTCCATAACCTCCACCTTTCATCAGATCCCTTCTCTTTAGAATGGGCATGAATATGAATGTTTTCTATATGGTCGGCCAGTTTCAAGCGTCTTGGCAAGCAAGCACCACTTCCAAAATCCGTGTGCTGAAATAACTCACGTGGTGTTCATCATTTCCTGGTGCTTTGCTGTGTGCCAGTGCCTTCAATACCATTGGTTCTTGATCACATGCTACCTCCTGCAAGGGTCAAATGCTGATCACAGTGACTCTGTAGTTCAGTGGTACAGTGACTCGGTACAGTGACTCTGTAGTTCTCCATTCAGTCTTTGCTGTTTCCTGCATCCTCCAGTGTTTTCCCATAGAATCCATCAATATTATAACTACAAGCTTGAATTTTATTTGATTGAAATTTGAATTTTTTAAAAACTTTATATATCCCAGAGCCTCTTTACTCTTACATTTCAAACCCATGACTGCTCCCCCTTAATTTAGGTTAATCTGAGTACAGAGTTGAGAAAAACAAATCTTTGCTCATGCTTCTTGATATTACTCAAGATCTCTAATCACTTGGTCGGCTCTTTTTTAAGCATCATCTAATTTACTCATTTATATGATTTTGTTCTAAAGGTAACTTACCTTATGTACTGCTTCTACGTGAGCCTTCAAAATGTTACTCTTGAAATCAGGAGGAGCCCTTGTGGAATTCAACCCTGGACTCTCGATGGCATTATTAAGGCACTTCTCGGTCAGCTTCACTACTTCCTCCTAGACATTAAAACATGTACACTTACCAACTCTGATAGGCCGTAACTGCATAGAGATAAGGAAGTTAATGAAAACTTCTTATTCAGAAAACCAAGAAATCATAAGCAGCCATATGCTATTCCAGGTATTGGCAACATATACACGTTTCAAACTAAGATCCATTAACCACAAACATAAAATGTCAAGTACAAGGGAACTCTAAAAACCATTCATTCTGATTTCCCATCATTAAGCATCTGAAAAATGTTGGAATGAAAGCTTTAATGAAACAACACACATTGGAGTAAGTTTTAAATTAGGCACTGCTGAAGCTAATTCCTGTAATTCTGGACTGGGGTTATGCTATATGGTAACAAAGAGGTTGTCCTCTGCATAGATAAATCAACAAGATAGAATAAAGCACAAATTCAATCAACAAAGATCATAATTAAAGCAGTAGTATAAGTAATATGAAAATAGGAGGAAACCAAATTCAAACGAAGTGCACCCATCTGTATTATAACTGATTTTCGTTAACCTGATGTGAATAATGATTGCTAAAAAGAACGTGTTGAAAAGCTACTCAATGGCATAGAACAATTATTATCTTATTGTTGTTTTAACAACGATAACAAACTCACTCTAAATGTTTTCTTAGTGTAAGACACTCTAGGATTTTGATTTATAAACAGCTGCTAGGTGTGGCATTACATAATAATACTGCCCTTTCAGATTTGAAAAGATTTAATTGATGTGCTGAATCTAATTTATAGGAGCCCCAATGCTGTAGTGCTTATGAGTTGGGCTGTGATCCACAAGGTCACCAGTTCAAAACCACCAGTCACTCTATGGGAAAAAGACAGGGCTTTCTACTCCTATAAAGAGTTAAAGTCTTGGAAACTCATGGGGGCAGTTCTACCCTGCCCTCTAGGGTCACTATGAGTCAAAATCAAATTGATGGCAGTACGTGAAATTAATCTAATTTGTTGTTCTTACCATGATTGCTAGATATGTATACGGTGGGTGGGCCCCTAACCGTTTGAATTCTTATTAAGATTCCCCATGGGACTGTCCTACACATAAAAGTCTGAGATCACATCAGACTATGCATGTCAGCTCAGTAGCCTCTGGTCTTCAGGATGGCTCCTGTGGAGGTCTCTATGTCCTATTATAACCGTGAGAGGGACTCTCTCATGAATATCTCATCACAACTTACATGTTAATGATTGTTCCTTGCGGCTGCAGCTTTAAACTAAATCCTCCTGTCTTTCTTCTTCTGTCTCTCGTCCTCCTCGGTTAAGCGCCCTGGGTGTCTGGGCTTAATGACTTGGTGCTGTGGATGATGCCCTGCTGCAGCGTCAAACCAAGCCCAACATAAAGAATCAAGTGAAAGGAAACCAGGCAGATGTACTCCTGGAGGGGAAGGCTATAACTTAAGGTAAAATGCAACAAAGAAATGTTCTGACCCCCAGCAAAGTATGAAAACCTTGACCATAAGAGAGAGGGGACGGCAGTCTTAGAGGATTATTCATCTCCTGTCCTTCCAGATCTGTTAGTAAAACACAGCCCGATTCGCAGGCCTCTGTGGTTGGCTGCGGCAGCTCCTGGCAGTCTGGACCCTTCATTCTGTTTCAATCAAGGCTAGTTGACATGGTTTTTCAGAGACAATTATGTTCTGGAGTTGAAATTTTTTAATTGCAGATTAAAGGCTTTTCAGAGAAACCTGCCTGCTTATAGTAAAAACAAAACAAGGGTTAAGCCCAGAAGCATTGCTACTAGGAATTATTGTAAACAAAATGTGTTTAAATACGTCTCTGTAGTCCATGGATGACAGCAGACACGTTCTCTCAGCAATACACTTGTCCTAGTCTTGGGCAGTTCCTAGACCTTGGTTACAGTTTCTTCCTTCATCAAGGCTCATCGACTCCCTTCTCCTGGCTCAGCTTTAAGGTCTTGCCAACTTTCCTTTAAACACATATTTGTTTTTCCCTAAAAATCTGTATTTTCTGAAATGATGTATATGCACTGTTGTTACTATTGCCTTGAGTTGATTCTGACTCATAGTACCACTATAAAATGTGGGGGGGGGATTACTAAAAAAGTAGCTGAGTATAAGTTTTTTTAAAAGGGTGCCTCAAAAAGTTCATGGAAAGACGAAGTTGAAAAATGGACTTTTTTCATAAGCTTTTATAGCTAGACAAAAGCTATGAATCCAGTTTATCCGAAAAATGCTGTTACCAGAGGGAGCTAAAGGCTTCAGGCCCCTCCTCTCTCAGTACTCATCATACTGGTAAAACAGATTTCAGGGGAGAGATAGGAAAATGGTTCTCAGGGAAGGAGGGAGTTTATTAAAGGATGACGTCTCATACAATTATTCAAATGCACACCTCAGCTAGTCTGAGCACTCTGGGAAACTACATTTTCATATTGCTGACAGCAGACCTTCTGTTACTGACTAGCTTTTTGTAGCACATTTCCCCTTTACAAATGTTGCACATGGACTCCAAGCGCATGCTGTGACCTTGTCGCCAGGCTAGAACCCAAAGGCCAATTCAATCATTTTTGGGGGTGATGCGGGTATCCTGTCTGTCTCCACCTCATGCACTTTTCCTGCTAGGCGAGCATCAAGCAACTCGCTCTGAGTTAGTGCACCCAGTGACATCGCCTGGGAAGGTTCTCTCTGGTCACAGTTAATTTTTTCTTGAAAGTGGTTTTGCTCAAACCTCGTTTTTTGTGATAGCCGATTTAAGAGAATAGCATGCAGCTGTGAAATTGTGTTTCCTGCTCCGGAAAAGTGCAGCAGACACTGTTATGACGTTGAACACAGCTTACAAGGACAGCACTATGGGAAAAACTCGAGTGTACAAGTGGTTTTCTCCTTTCAAGAAAGGTGAAATGTCAATAGATGATGAACTTCATTCTGGATGTCTGTCAACTTTCCGAATAGACAAAAATGTCAACTCATAGTACTTTTGGAGTTCATTCTACCTGGTCAGACTGTCAATCAAGCTTTCTATTTAGAGGTTCTGTAAAGACTGCACAGAAGTGTGTGACAAAAAAAGGCCTGACTTGTGGTAGACAGGAGAATTGTTTTGCCACCATAACATTGCACCTGCTCACACAGCCATCTCAGTGTGCCAGTTTTTGGCAAAAAACAGCATGCCCCTCTTGCCCCATGCACCTGACTCACCTGACCTTGCTCCATTCAACTTCTGTTTTTCCCCAAGAATGAAGAGGGACATGACAGGACAGCGATTTGATGACGTAAAAGAAGAGGGAGGTGCTGTCAGCCATCCAAACAGGTAAGTTTGAAAAAACGTTTCCAAAAATGGAAACGCAGATTTGACAAATACATTAAATGTAACAGAGAGTCCTTTGAAGGTGATAAAGTTGTTTTGGAAAAAATTTAAATACATAGCTTTGGGAAAAAAAATTCCAGGTTTTTTGGAGTACCCCCTCACATAAATGAACACAAAGTCAAGAATCTACATTCAATTCCATGGGCCTTAATTCATAAGTAGATTGACTATTTGCAGATTAGAATCCTGTTTTAAAAGATTATAATTTATCTCATTATTTTTACTAAATATTAACAAACGTTTTAACCACAGTGCATAAACTGTTTCCTCCCTTTAAACTTCTTCATGTACCTAATTGATACCTGGAGGTCAGAAGTCCTTGAGATACGTACACACGGGATGTGAACTTCATAGCTAGTCCACTATGTGGCTAAAGAATGGTATACCACTACTGGCTTAACGTTCTATTTCTAAACAAAGAATGACTTAGAAAAACATTATTTTAAAAACACGCTAACTACATTAGTATAATAAAGCAGTTATTGCCAAATGGAAAAATTCACCATTGCAGTCTTTTAAAAAGACTGATATGCAACAGCTCAGCTTATCTCAAGATAAATTTGCACAACACATTTCTGAAGACTGTGTCCCTCCCCAAAGGGAAGGCATGCCCATCATCAAATCTGAATAAAACTTGGAGTTGTGGTAAAGAAAGAAACCATTTTTGGGGTGATATTCTCTTAAGATCTGGGTAAAAAGTAAGTTTTTAAAATGCAAAAATGATAAAGAAGATTAAAAATCTTCTTTGATGATAATTTGCTGCTGGATTAAATTCTTAGTCACTAAGGCATTGAGTCAATAAATGATGGTCCTTAGGCCAAAGCCAGTTCCCTGACTTTTTGTGAACAATTTCTGTTGGAACACAGCCTGGCGCACTCATTTATGGGTGTTGTTGAACTCCTGTGCAGATTTGAGTAGTTGTGACAGAGGTAAGTTAAGACAAAAAATAATTACTCCCTGGCCCTTTGCTGAAAAAAATTTGTCCTACCTTTTAACTTTAAACTAAAAAGGTTAATTATGAGAGCCCACACATACCTAAATGGCACCCGCTATCCTTGCTAAAGGATCTAATAAAGATTTTGTTTCCTTAAGCACTTTTTATTAAATCGATGATCATCAAAGAACAGCAACAACAAAGGTATGAAAGATGAAGGAGAAGCATCTAATGTTCTTGTCCTTGTTAACATTACAGAGCGGTGCTCTTTCTAGAAACCCCTTCTAAAATTTCGAAAGGCTTTCTACCAACAGAGGAGCCCTGTTGGCATGGTGGGTTATGCACTGGACTGCTAACAACAAAGTCAGCAGTTCAAAACCACCAGCTTCTCCACAGGAGAAAGATGAGACTTTCTACTCCCGTAAAGAGTTGCAGCCTTGGAAACCCACAAGGGCAATTCTACACTGTCCTTACAGGGTCCCTCTGTCAGAACCAACTCAATGGCAGCGAGTTTGGGTTTTGCTTCCCCGCCCCCCCATAAAAAGTCAACAGCTGAATGGATAAACAAGACGTGGTCCATTCACTGGAACCTATGCAGCCTGCAGGAGAGATGAAGTCTAATACGTGGACGGATCTTAAAGATTTAGGTCAATGACAGAAGGACAGCTAGTATGTAACTTCACGTAGATTAAAAAAAAGACCTGACTAAGTAAATGTATAAAGGCAAATGTTAATTAGTGGTTACCAAGGATCCCTCGTGGTGTAGTGGTTACACATTGTGCTGCAATCGAATGGTCGGCAGTTCAAAACCACCAGCAGCTCCAGAAAAGAAAGACTGGGCTTTCTACTCCCGGAAACAGTTACATTCTCAGAAACCATCAGGGGTTGCTCTGAGTCAGCACTGACTGGAGGGCAGTGCCAGGGGCTGGAGGAGGGGCTCTTAGGTGCCATGGAATCAGCCCCGACCCACGGAGGAAGGGAGGGGGGCTGCTGTCTACAGAGCATTGAGTTTTAGTTTATGAAGATGGACAAAGCAGACGAATGACGGGAACGGTTACACAGCAGATTATTCTAAGCACCATCAGTAAATTGTGTGAATTAGCAAAGTGATTCCTCTACTGATTGAAAGCCTTTTGAATTACAGAAGTAGCAAAAGTATTACCAAAAAGAGAGTCACTTCTCTCTGTCTCTCTTAGTCACTGTTGTAAATCTACCTAAGACACCACTGACCCTCTTTGCCATCGGGAAAAGGAGGGAGATCTGGAGAGGGTGGCCCGTGGCTCCATGCACAACCACCTCCTTTGACATGGGGCCAGGAAACTGCATGGTCCCAGCTACCATGACTACAGGCTTCATCAAAGATTCTTCAGGAAAATCTGGATCAGAAGGGGTAATATGCAAAACAGAATTTCAAATTCCTTTTCCCCCACCCCCCAAATTTCAAATTCTTAGGAACTCCAGATTTTCAGGAGCCAACGAGGCTAGATGAACCCTGAAAATGACTGTAATATTGAAAACTTAAGCCAAAAATATTCCCTGCTTTTTTTCTTCAAACTAAATAATAGCTAAGCTAACTATTAACTAAATAAATGCCTAGAGCAATGTTTCCCAAATTGGGAGATACTGCCTCCCTGGTGGGCGTGCTACAATGTTGTGGGGGTGGGGGTGTTGCAAAAATAGAGACCTACACTTTATCCTGGATTTTGGGTTACAGTATGAAAGTTTTTCATTGGGGGGGGGCAATTTTTTTTTCCTATTTAGCAGTAGCTAAGTACATTTGGGAACCTATGGCTTAGAGAACTGTATGGGCAGTGTGTGTTGCAACATGTTGCTGTGAGGTAGCCTGTTTGTCCACATGATCACAATGAAGTGTTCTGGAATTCCCAGTCTTCATAATGCTCACCTTGGGTGACCCTGCTGGTATTCAAAACACTGGTGGCCTAGCTTATACGTCCCAGCAACATGCAAGCCACCAGAGGAGGATAAACAGGCGGTTTTTGCTGCTAGATAGGTATAAAGTACTTGTCCTTCAGTACACACAAGAGTGCCATGCTAAAGCAAACAATCGCTTGAGCATTCAGCTCTTTTTAAGGTCTGCCTGTGAGGGGTCAAAGCGGCACAGCAAGGAGCATCTCAGAAAATCTGGGGGGACGGTTTATAATTCAAGCAGCCTAATCAGTTTCACCGAAATGTACATATAAAATATGAATCAGTTAGGCGTCGCTGTCTATATTTTCAACAACAAAAAAAGTTGTAAAAAACCATTTAAAAATATCAGCAAGTCTTTCAACTAAATTCAGACTTGTTGAACAGATTAAAGATGGATCATATTAAAGATTTAACAAGCTTTTCACTTTTATTGTGTGTTTAAAAAAATTAGATGACTTTACTTTTATTACTGAAGATTTCTCTTTTTCCCTAAACATCCACAAGTGTCTTGTTTTTTAATAAAATGAAAAAAGAACAGGTTTATAAGAGCTCAGTCCAAAAAGATTTCCCAGCATAAGAAGGTAGAGTATGAAATGCAGGAAGAAAGTTTTAAGGGCCCTGAGATGTTCAGAGGAAGGCACATGACTACCTGGTGGTTTATGTTAACATCGGTGTTGGGATGAGACGGGAGCAAAAGACTGGTCTCCGTCTCAAGCTGCGTGAGCTTCTCCGAGACGTCTTTCAGAGCTGGAAGAAAACGAAAACAACAGCAGGTGGTGAAGGTGCAGACTTCAATTGCTTTTTTCCAACCCCAATTATCATAAATTGACAGCAGAAATTCAGACCGCCTAGATAGATCTATTTTCTCTCCATAACCTTGTCAGTCATGTTAACCACGTACGATGGAAGTATAAACACTGCTCTGTATCTGTTATTGCTGATGTTGCTGTAGGGTTATCCATTTGATTTCTGACTCACAGCGCCAAAACGACAGAGTGGAGCTCCCGTAGGGTTTTCTTTCCTGGTGGCACACCGGTTACACCTGGGGCTGCCAACCAAAGGGTTAGCAGTGCAAAACCCACCAGCAGCTCTGAGGGAGGAAGACGGCTTTCTACTCCTGCAAACCGCCAGTCTCGGAAAGTCACAGGGGCTGCTCGGAGTCAGCACTGACGCGATGGCGGTGAGCTTGGAGTTCCTGGAATCTTGACAAGAGCAGATTGTCCAGGCTTCTGGCTGCCCAACTACTGGGCAGGTCCAACTTGCCTTTCAGTTGGCATCTAACAGCTCAGTTGCTGTGCCACCAGGGCGCTACAACTGTAGCACGCCTACGAGGCCACGGGCCATGGAATGTCCACGGTCATGACTGGTGAGGACGGTGTTTTGTGTGCTGTCACTGTGGCCTGGTCTGTGTGTGTGTGTTGGGGGGGCGGGGGCGGGAGGATGCTGTTGGTTTCTGTGTTCCACATAGTATTCTGTGCTGAGTTTATTTGTTTGTGAGGTTTTTTTGTTTGTTTGTTATTTTGTTCATTGCTGGGGTTTTTAAGGGTTTATAAAATCTTCATAACTTTCTTTTGATAAGAAAGTTTATGAATTAATTTTGAGGTTACCTTATGATTTCTTGAAGAGTCCTGGTGGCTGTTAACTGCAAGGTGAGCAGTTCAAAACCACAAGCTCTTTTGGAGAAAGATGAAGGCTGTCTTGGAAACGCAGAGGGACAGTTCTAGTCTGTTCTATAGGGTCACTATGAGTTAGAATTGACAGTGACCTTTTTTGTTGTTATTGTAACTTATTGTAAGGTGACCAGGTTTTAACATTGGTAAAGCGGGACAAAAGTGGGACACCATTGATAAAACTCATATCCTGGAGAAATAGCCACATGGCAGCCGAAAACCATATACCCTAGCTTGTCGTGCATTCTTTCCAAAAATCGGGACTTTTTAAAAACACCGCGGGATGCGGGAAAAATTATTAAAAATGGGGACTGTCCTGCCAAAAGCGGGACGTCTGGTCACCTTAACTTATTCATTTGTTCCCAAATTTAAGTCTGTTCTATACTGAAATGGATTTGAATTCCTCTCCATTAGAAGTGCTTTACACTACATAATACTTCTTTGTGCTTTGTAATTTTCTTTGTTTACAAATTGCTATCTTGGATTTCCTATTTGCAGTGTGTTTTACTACTTTGGACGCGTCTTGACTTGGTTTGACTTCTACGTGGTGTTGTGTAGTGTATTAATCTCAGGTTGTTGTCTGCCTCTGTTGGTTCTCTGTCCAAAGACCTCCCTTTAATATTTCTTGTAAAGCTGGACTGATTTTTACATATTATTTTAATTTCTGTTTATCTGGAAATGTTCAAATTTCACTGTTGAATTTGAGGGACAATTTCTTCTGGGTATGTAATTCCTGGTTGAAAACTTTTTGTTGTTTCAGATTTTATGTCATCCCATCGCCTTTTATCCTGCACGGTTTCTGTTCAGAAATCAGAACTTTATTTTTTTGTTTTTGTTTTTTGTAGTGTTTTCCTGAATTCTTCTAAAGATTTACTTGTGTTTTCTCTGGTTTCATCTAAAGCCTTTTCAATCTTTCTCTCAAGCTACTGAAATACCTAAATATCACTCTTTTAAATTCCTTATCAGGCAGTTCCAATTCCATTTTTTATTCAGAAAGCTATTCTGGCTCTGTATTTTGGTCTTGTTTGAGCTGCTCTGTTGTCAGATCAACTGACATTATGTGTTGTCTCTAAGACAGTGTGTTGTTGTTGTTTTTGTATTGACTTGATGTGTATTGCTGCATGTCACATCTCTCTCCTGGTTGGAATATTAGAGAGTGCGAGTGTGTAGTGCAGTTGAGGTTGGTGTGGCTGGTGTTGGCACTATCTGTGGTTAATCAGGTGGTACAAATGTGAATAATGATCTTTGTGCAGTGGGTGAGGCTACAGAAGCTATGGGTGTGGCTGGGCTGTGTGGGAATAGCAGCTATTTCCTGCCATGTGGAACAACAGAAAACAAGTGAAAAAAAGCAACAGCAGCAGATACATAAATTAATAAAGAAAAAACAGTAGCTTAATAAGTAAAAAGAAGAATGTTATGAAAACAACAAAGAAAGCAAAAAAACAAAGACAATAACAAAGCTAGGGTGGGTACTTAGAAAAAGAGAAAAAGAAAAAGCTAATCAAGCACAAGGAAATAAAAAGAGGGAAAGAGAAAAAAAGAAAGGACATAGAAGATAAGCAAAAAGGAAAACAGAGAGAAAAAAACAAAACAAGGAAGGGAAACAAGGGACAAAAAAACAAAGAAAGGAGCAATCTGGCTCTGTGTTCCAACTCCGAAAGGGGGGGGGGGGGAGCATGAGCGAGCGCGCACATGTGCGGGGCCCACGGGTGACAGCAGCGGAAGCGGAGTGTCTGTATGGGCGGCAGCGCTCTCTGCTAGTCATGGTCACGGAGGAGGTTGAGGGGCATGCCTGCAGTTACTTGTTTTTGTGGTTCTGGGCAAAAAGTATTCCCATTAACAACAAAATATTTTCTAGAAGCTAATAGAAAGTCCAGTCATCCTGTGTCTTGGAAAATCTTCAAAGAAACGTTTCGCTTTAATTTTCACTCAAGAAAAAATTAAAAATCAAGTTGAAAACTCAAAACATTTAATAACTTAAAGAAGTTAAAATATTTAATAATCTCAATTATAGTATCCTAAATATTTCAGTCAAGAAGAAGCAGAAGGTATAACTATTCCAAATTAAATTTGAAAATTTACCTAGTGCATAAAAAATTCTTTTTTTTTGCATAAAAAATTCTTGAGGGAACTGTTTTAAGTATTTCACTTCAAAGGAAGATAAACTAACAAGAAGATACCATTGATCTGATACAGAACATATACTTACTCCCATGTTCAGCTTCAAGTTCCTCTAATCCAGTCTGTACGGCGGCAACTTTCATTTCGGCTGGTGCCTGAGATATTTTCACAGCCGTGGCAGGGGGCCCAATTAAGTGATCAATAGTAGTTTCCAGTAGGTCTGGGCTAGCTAGTAAATCAACATTCAGAGGCAAACTGTAATGATAAAAGAAAACTTACTTTGACTAGGAATTTTATCAAAAAAAGAACGTAAAATATTAGCAAACACCTGGTCGGAAAAAGTTTTCACGGAAGAGTTTGTACCCTAACTGTCATTTTCATACATCAGAAACCTCTGGGACGAATCCAAAGGGAGAGCCAGCAGGGCTGCAGCAGGTCTCCATCAGTACTCGGCAGAGTATCGATCGGTGCATATTGATAAGGAGACGTTTGGGGTGGGGAAAGAGTCTCACAAACGGAGGAGGAGGAGCTGGCAGTACTCACAGTGGGCCAAGACCAGTTCGTTTCCACAGAAAGACAGTTATGGATGGCAATGTGGACTCACTATCGTGGTACCCTCAACAAGACTCGGAGAGTGCATGTGGAGGACAAACTTGGAGCACTGGACCTCTGCCTGAGGGAACAGAACTCACCACCGGGAAGAGAAGGGACAGAACCCACACGTGGGCACCAAGCAGACAAGCGGATTCTCTGCCAAATGTCGGCGGGTTGTGCAGGGGAATCTCTGGCACGGACAAGGAGGAGCCGAGCCAAGTATCGGCAGGCCACCAATGCGCACAACGACGCTCTCAGGGCGCAGAGCTGGCCAGAGGTGTGCACCCCTGGCTCCCATGCAAAAGCAGCAGTCACGGAGCCAACCTAGCAACTGGCTGTGCCCCTCCCTGGGCTAATGGGGGCTAGGTGTCCAGCCTGAAAAATGCACGGCCAAGCAGGCGCACCACACACCTTGGGAGGCACAGGAGACTAGTGACAGGGCACCTTCTTGGGCTCTCCACGGTTCTCTGATGCCCAAGCATTCCTGCACTCAGATTGCCAGAGGCTGGACCATCCACTTGATGCCAGCACAAGGCTCCAATGTCCTGAACTGCCCTAGGATTAAAAACGGTCCATCCCTTCTTGCATCTTTTGTATTCATAAACGAGTAGGTGCAGCAGCGGGGGCAACCGAAACTAATACCCCACCCGCTGATGACAACAGAGACAGACACAGGTCTGGGGACTGGAGGACAGATGCGGCCAGCTCTGGTTTTGAGACCTTTTCTCTTTTAAACAAATGCTGCGTTGCTTCTCCCCCTCTGTGGCTCTGAGAAAGCACCCAGGGAGAGACATTGATACAAGGGGAAGAGAATCATCCCCATTCCCTGTCAAGCAGAAATGTCCCCACCCTCATGCACCTGCCACTACGCTCCAAATGGCCGAACCCTGGGCTGGACCTTGAGAAGCACACATTGATGACGGAGAAGAGACAGCGGCCGGTTCTGGCTTTCCTGTCTTGAATGTGTGTGTGTGTGTGGGGGGGGGGGCATGTACCCATTCCTGAGGCTGTTTGCAAGCTTATTTATTTTTAAAGTTGGTTATTTACTGTATTGTTTGCTTTTATTTTTATTATCCCTTTCTCATACCACATGATAGAATCAACCATCCCCAAATGACTCCGCTACCTTCCCACCTCCAACAGTTACATTACAGTGTCTCAGAGACCACAGGCCATTTCAGTTCACATACACAAAGAGGGCACAAACAAGCAACCGGTACACAGACCAAAAGGCCTAGCCCAGTGTTTCCCAAAGTGTGCTATACCTGGAGGTGCTGGAAGGATCCAGGGGCGCTGCAAAAGCAGATACCTACACGTAACCCTGGGTTATGGACTAGAGTACAGTTACCAGTGGATGCTGAGTAACTTTTTTTCTCTGAAAAGGGGGCAATATGCTGAAAGGGGGGCAATAAGCCAAATAACTTCGGGAACCTATGAGCTAGCTAATCACACAGCCCACTGTGCAAGCAGGGCTTCTTCCACATGCAAAAGGGGGTTGACTTGTGTGCTGAAGCCCCAGAGTGAGAGCATGATTCACATGTTCTAACGATCTGAACCAGCCTTCCTGACCTGCGAAGAACACACCTCTGGCCTATACTCAAAAGCCCAAACTCACTGCCGTCAGTCAATTCTGACTCATCGCGACCCCTGTGGGTTTCTGAGACCATAACTTCACGGGAGTAGAAAGCCAGTCTTTCTCCCAACGAGCTGCTCGTGATTTTGAACTACCGACCATACGGATCACAGCCCAACAGGTAACCACAAAGGTTCCTAGGCTGTACAAGAAAAGAGAAAAACCAAAAAAGGGGAATTTTAAAAGTTTGATTGTGTTTGACTTTTCTCCTTCCTACCCAGGATAGTGGGGCACTTGGTTAAGGATTAAACTGTATACCCCCAAAATAATGTTAACTCCTTTACCTACGGTTATAATCCCATTAACCTAACAGTATTGGTGTGGGGTGTGCTTTAGGTTACACTCCTTTGAGATGGAAAAGGGCAGATTGAAGCAGGCCAGCACAATGGAGGGAAATAAATCTGCCCCATGACTGTCAACTATCAGACAGAGAAGATGAAAAGAGACCAGGGCAATTGTATGATCCCCAATAAATTGATTAAAAAAAAAAAGAGAGAGACCAGGGCTTCCCCCACAGTGGACAGGCGAAAGATGAGGCTTTCTGCTCCTGGAAAGAGTGACAGTCTTAGAAACTCAGAGGGACAGCAATGCCCTGTCCCATAGCATAGGGCCGCTCTGAGTCAGCAGTCACTCAGTGGCAGTAAGTCTGGTTTGGGTTCTGTTCTAAACTGCAGGAAAATCAGTTTGTTAAAGCCATTCATTTGTGGTGCTTCTCTTACAGCAGTCCTGGGTTGATATGGCAGATTTGGCACTGAAGAGGAGCGTGCTGCTCTAACAAGAACCTCAACTGTGGAAGAGGGCTTGCATTGGGGTAATGGGTAGAATATGGAGGAACTTTGATCTGCTTCCTAAGAGGCCTAGCTAGGCTGCCTTAAAAAGATCATTTGGAAAATTCGGGAAGTCACCGGCATCCTTGAGGTGCAGTCTCAGAAGGAGCGAGGAGCACTACAGACACAGTCTGTCTTGTCTTGTAGACTACATGGGCACCATCAACCGAATACCACCACAAGTGTGATTCGCATTGTGCTTCTGCAACCGAAACTGGCGGAAGGGGACACACAGCTATGTGTCCATTTGGCGAAGCCTCAGTCAGGAGTCTCTCCACCCCTGCTAACTGGCCAGTCGCTGTCCAGTCTTCAAAGGCTGACACTGAAACAGCAGACTTGAAGGTAGGCACTCCCACATCAGGAGAGCGGAGCCCGGGCTCAACACCAAACAACCGACCCATTGTCATCAAGTGGATTCTGAGTCATAGCAACCCTCCAGGGCAGACTAGAATGGCCTCATAGGACTTCTAAGGCTGTAATCTTCATGGGAACAAATATCCTCATCTTTCTCCCTCGGAGCAGCTATTTATAGCTCTGATCTTCTCATTGTCAGTCCAATGCTTAGCCACTGTACCACCTCAGGTCCACACTGAGGGTCTGAAGCTGCTAAATATGTCTCTTGAGGAGACCATGGAACTTAGTGGCTTTCTTCACATTGTCACAAATGCCCCAGGGGGTTCATTCACGTTTTAGGCAGTTAGGTTGGTAATGATCCTGCGTCCGGTTTGCAGGTGCTGGGTGACTTCTCCCAGCAGCCAACCGAAAGGCAATTCCTTTGGCTTTGCTATGCTGGGGGAGCTGGCTTCAGCTGTGGTAACCAAGTAAATGAGATTTCTGTGCAACACGTGCCAGCACTGGAGGCACGTGTTTGCCCGGTCCCTGCCCATCTGCTGGTCATCCTCCTCCAGGAGCCTCTTGATTCACTTCTGCTTTGCCCCACGGCCGGTCTGGTTCAGGGGTTCTGACATGCCGGAGCCTGGAACCTAGCAGGAGCCCAGCCGCAACCCTACCACTCCATGAACCCTCGCTCCTTTCTTACTGGTTATGAGACCCCCCATTTTCTGCCTCTGTGATGGCTCTTCTTTCGCTTTGCAGAATGGCAAGATTTACCAATCTCCTTGTTAGAGTCCCACACCCAATATCAGACAGTTTCTCAAAAAAAGCTCAACACGGAATTACCATATGATCAGCCATCACACAGGAATGCCAGGGCCCCTATTATAATTAGCAAGCTACCTAATCCCCGGAGTGGACTCTAAGCACCTCACAGATGTCTAATCCTACCAGTCATTAAAGGAGCCCTGGAGACGTAATAGTTACGTGTGGGACCGTTAGCTGCAAGGTCAGCAGTTTGAAATCACTAGCCACTCCACAGAACAAAGAAGAGACTCTACTCCTGTAAAGTCAGTCTCGGAAACGCACCGGGGCGATTCTACTGTCTCTAAGTCGCTCTGATTCAGTGGCAGTGAGTTTTCTTGTAGGATTGGGTTTTTTTCTTTTAACCAAGGCATTTGGTGGGAGTTACAGAAAAAACGAGAGCGGAAAGGGTCATATTAAGTAATTCACAGCATTACACTCACTTATGAAATAAGTAAATATATAGAAGCCAGCAGTTATGAGTTTCACCTCCCACAGGTGGACTATTTGGGAAAGGACAATGATAAGGAGGGCACCGGATGAAAAATGAAGGCAAGATCAGTGCGTTGCAAATGGAGAAATGGGTTAGAGAATGTGCTGGTGCCCATGTATTCGTCACATTAAACACAGAACAAAGCACGCTCCTAATGAAAGCAGCCCACTGTAACCAAGCTGTCACCAGACAGTTGGCTCAGACATGTCTGGGACTAGTGGTGGACAGTCATGTTGACTGTGGTAACCAGAAGTCAATCTTACTGAGCCCGTGCATCATCTTTCCCTGTCACCACTCTGCTCATGACAGAGAGGACTGAAGAAGGGCACTTCGTGGAATCCACGGCATGAATCTCCGATCAACCTGAAGGTTAAAATCCTTCTCTGCTGAGGCCACCTCTTAGGTGCCTGTTTCACACGAGACACAAATGTCTTTATGATGATGATGATTTTTCCCGATAGGTTTACTCACGTCTCTTGCTCAGACTGCCTTGTCTATCCAGTCATGTTCCTCCCAAGTCCCTGACTATCTAACACAACCCGTGGTCACAGCATATATAACTGACTTACAG